TGACCTTATATCAACTAATTGTGTCTAATGACCCTCTTTCCAAGTATAGTTGCATTCTGAGGTTCTAGATATGAGGAGTCAACATATGAATTTGGAGGGGCCTCAGTTCAACCTGTAACAAAGGCTCCTCCTCTCTTTGTAGGTGGCAGCACCCCTCACCCCCTGCTGTGGTTTTCACATTGCAGTGACTTCATAAATATGCTGTTGAATTGGAGGACACCGTTTCTTCTGTATCACAAGTGCCTATATCTGCGCATAGCTTATACTCCACGATATATTACATTATGATTGGCCATGGGAATACTTTTCTTATATATTTTAGTTAGGTTATCCTGCTTTCTCATTTCCACCTTCATGTGACATACCCTAGTGATGCAGGCAAGCCTTTGTGAAGCTATGCTTGCTTACAATAACCTCATACTGAATGATGGTGCGGTCAGGAGGAGGGTGTTGTAAGTGGGAGAGCATGAAAGAAGCAGAAATGGCAGAGGGGAGAAAAATCTTGGCAGATACTCAGTTTGTTCAGAAGGCAGAAAATCACCTATTTGAACAGTATCACCTCTGTGGGCCCTTGGGCACATTTATTTACATCTTTTCCTCACACTACTGCCCATCCATTTCTTTGAAAGCCTCGTAGATCCCAAGCTTGTTGACTCCAGAAGTGAAGTGTCAGATTTATTTTTACACACTGTTGCTTTTCAAATTCATATTATCGTCTTCCTTTTCAGTGTCTTGTGGTATATGCAACTTACATTCAAAATGTCTTCTAAGACAATACATCCCTCTAGCCCAGCGACGAGCGTTTGAAAGCCCTTTGTGAGATACTATTTCTTGTGTTGCTCTCTGTCAAAGAGATTTCCAGACGGCCTCCAGGATCATGTTTTTCCTGTTCCATAATTTTTTATAGCCTGGTTACAGCTCTCAGCTTGCTGCAGACCTGACTGCAACTAAGGAGCCTTCATCTGAGTCAGCAATGAAGGAGCCGTCCCAGAAATTGATGCCGGTTCCCTTCGGACACCAGAGGCAACTTTATACACAAATGAAAAGATGCATTTAGCTGAAAAGTTAATTATGGATCTTATCATAAATAACAAATCAATTAGAATAAATTAAATTGCAAAATGAAAATAAACAATACATTTAAATAATTTTCGTGGTCTCTATTCATATGCATCATCTCAAGGTACAATGTAACATGAGCAACAAAATTAAGAAGGGTATCTAAACGTGAGGATGGATAGTTAGAATTCACCAGGTTATATTACTAATTCTGAGGTTTGACTTCTTACACTGAATGCACTGGGATGACCAAATGAGCCTTATTTATTTATTTATTTAATTTTTTGGTATGCCTTAAGACTTCATTAGAGAACAAATTATATGGAAAGTGGAAAGATTTATGCCACTGGATTTGGTGATTTGAGAATTGCCTATCTGATCTGAAAGAGCCAAAGATTTATTTTAAAATGTACACTATTCATATACCATATCCACAGTAATCTAACTATTGGCATTAAAATGTACCCTATGTAAAATTCTAGGTTGTCAACTAAAAAAAAATCACTGATATAATATGAAGTAAAATACACAGTGCTTTTGAGATTTTGACAAACTATTACATAGTTAAATATATTGTTATTAAATTCACTCTTTTTTGTTTTTTAATTTTTCTTGATACCTAAAATATACACTCAAGCCAACATAAGTTGTTTCAGAAAAGTATATCTACTCTGGGTTTTAAATAACTTGTTATTAATAGTGATTCTGTTCAAATTAACACGGTAATGTATACAAGGATATTTCTCTTTCTAGAAGCATAATGCCTGTCTATTGGCCAGAGTCTTACTATTTTGACTATACAGGTAAAACAGATAGGCTTTTTGCTTGTCATTAACAGCTCAAGGAGATGAAGAAAAATCATTAAAATGTGGATTGGAAGGTATTGAATGAATTCTTATTTTTGTTTTTTTGTTAACTATTGAAATACAAGTTTGTATACACAATACATATGTTGAATGCTTTTTGTTTTGTCTTGTTTTGTTTTTGATGATTGTCTACGAAAAGTGACTAATAGGGCAAATTTACCTGTTGCATGGTGTTACGTGAATTTCTACAATGTAACAATCATTACAATCCAACTAACAGTTCCAGAAAGAGGTAGGAGGCATAGGCCCACTCCCCGGGGGCTGAATATTCTATCAGGTTGTTATCTGAAATGTAAGGTCCAGTTCTGTTAGTTCTGAAATATTCTGAGAGAATGAATCTTCCGTGTTTCTGACTCTCATCCTCTCCTATCCAAGATCTATTTTTCAATCCAAAAACCTCCTGGTGATTCTCAGCAGTGGGAAACCTTCCAATATATCTCTAGAAGAATTAGATTTTCAGTCTTCTCTGTTCCTAACACTATTGTTCCTGGTAGTGTTTACCTGAGTTCTGTGTTCCAGGAAAATAACCAAGATCAGGAAATCACCCCACCTTAGACTGATACTGAATCGAGTTAATTAATGGGTATGGTAGCCACTTTTTATCCACAGAGGATTCGTTCCAAGATCCCCAGTGGAGGCCTGAAACTCAGGTAGTGCCAAACCCTCTAGACACTATGCTTTTTTTTCCTATACATACATACTTACAATAAAGTTTAATTTATGCATTAGGCACAGTAAGAGATTAACAACAATCGCTAATAATAAAATAGAACAATAATACACTGTAATAAAATTTATCATAGATCATAGCAACCTCAGCATACAACTTTTTCTTTCCTTATTAAATGGAGAAGTTTCACCTTTTCACTTAAGGGAATCACTTTACAGCTTCTCTTCGGCACGTCTTACACTTTGGGGACACTAGGAAGTAAAATAAGGGTGACTTGAGCACAAGCTCTGCGATACCTTGACAGTCAATCTGACAACCCAAATGGCTACTACGTGACTAATGGGCGGGCAGCTCATACAATGTGGATCTGCTGGACAAAGGGGTGATTCACATCCGTCCCGGGGCTGCTTTCATCGTGCTACTCAGAATGGCATGCCATTTAAAACTTATGAATACTTTCCTTCTGGAATTTTCCATTTAATATTCTCAGACTGCAGTTGACCACTGGTAACTCAAACTATGGAAAGCAAAATCACAGATAAGTGTGCACTACTGTATTTATTAGATACTGAGATCATTTGTAAGTAGAAGAAAATATTAGAACATTGGTTATTATGTATAATTTTAAGTATGTATACAGTTTGTCTCATTTTTTACATGCTACAGAGTGTTTGTATTTATTTGCATCTGTTCATGAACCTGTTCAGTTTTGCACGTTGAGAAGTTACACTATAAGGGATGTTTATGGCTATAATAAGTTGTGAGATGTGTCTTCATAAGCTCTCCTAGCCTGCTGCGAAGGCTGGTGTGAATGACAGTTCACATCTACCCACCTCCTAGTTCCCTCTGTGGAATAGAATTCGGTGTGGTTAAAACATTGACATGTGAGAGTCAGACTCAATTAGTAGTAAGAGTGGCAGAGATGTACAATTTGTCAGCAAGATTTGCAGGATGAGCTTCCTTTAAGGAAAAAGAGAGTAATTTTGTCCCCAAATAAAATGACTGCTTATTCCAGAATGAGAAAAAAAAAAAAGTAAAGTGTGGGACAAAACCTGAATGGGTATAGAAAGTAGATGAAGGTTCTAGGCTAGGGAATTTTGGTTGCCCATGTGAAAACTGACTAAGGTTTGATGGATTTATTTATAAGATTTTCAAAATGAGTTTGTGTCGAATATTATACTGACGCAAAACTAAACTTTGGTTTTCTCTCTATTATAATAAAATGTTCTTAGATTACTGGTCTCTTAGTAAGAGGCTACAAAAGTTTATTCTTTACCTTCTGGGTAATCAGCCTGGATAGCAAAGATTCTATGTCCTGCCAGAGTAAACTTCTATGGTTTATAATGAATGTTTATGCCTTAGATTATTTATGAAAAACAAAGGTTTCTCACTTATGAAGGAGCTAAGGGTTTTTAAAATCAAGTTACCTCATAGGTTTACTTTAAAAATATTTTGCTGTCACTTTGGTTAAATAGGTAGCCATTAATTCCTTCTCTGTAACCCAATTCGAGTCTTCAAATGTGACAGCTTTTGATAGTTTGCCTTCCTCAAATCAAAGCCTGTTTTTTTTTTGAGCAAAATTGTCTTTGAAATTTCCCAAATGGTCCCTGGAAAATCACAAAGGATTTGTTCCTTCAGCTTGTAAAAAGAAAAGTGATAGAAACAATGAAGTTTGTTTAATATGTTACTGTTGCACATGGGAAGCAGTGCAAAATCAGAAGGCGTGCTTAGCCTTCCCTAGGTTAAATTAGGCTGGGAAAAATACTGTTAATATATGTATCTCAGAAAGTGCATGCTGTATGGAAAGGACCTGGAGATGTCAGTACTCTCACAGTCTGGAATGTTTCTATCTGTCAGGGTCCTTGTGTGCTTTGTTAGACAACAACACTACAGTGTTATCGTCATAATTCCAGTTATTTATTTAAAGTGTTAATTTGATCACAACTTTAGTTCTTTAATTTGAATCAAGTCGCTTCTAGGTCAGTGGTTTTCAAGGAGAGACGTACATCACTTAGCTGTGGAATTTTATCAATGCTCGGATGTTTAAGACCTACTCTCGACTTACATGATGTTTTTACTTGATAGTCTCGATATATTCTTGGTACAGTCTAACTACATACTTGGTACATTCAAGATATATTATTTCTCAGGATTATCACATGTAATATCTGAAGATTTTTCTCTGTTAAGATTATGTTCATTTATTTTTATAAATTAGGTGTAATACCTCGTCTTTGACAATAGAGTTAATCATTATGTTTATAAATGTTTTGTCTAAAACTTTTTTTGGATTGACTTTGTTACCTTCTGTTGCAATCTACAAGAACAACCTGTTCCTTGCCTGTTGAATTATTCTTGTAATGACGTCTCATTAGATCTTTTGCTTTTGAAAATTACCAGTAAAACTTTAACCACAGCTACTTAAAGTCTTTATTCATTTACAGATAGTTTTTGTTTTACTATGGTGTTTCCCTGAAAGCTCTTGTAATCAGCTATGGACGGGAGTGCTTCATCTTCAACACAGGAGGACCATCTCAGAACCTCGTGGAACAGCACCACGTTAGGGCACAGGCTTCAGACGGCATCATTTACCCAACTTGGAGACAGGAAGTCCAAAACTAGCTGAGAAGTAGATGGATTCGTGCGACTGTTAACCCAAGATTGAGTGGGGTAAGATTAAGCGGGACAGGTTATGTAGGAATGAAGGAACTGTGAGGGATGATTGTGGGCTTTGTTTGCAATATTACTGATATTTCAATTTTGTATTTTTATGGATGTGTAAGGAACTCTGTCCTCTTCTCTTAAGCAGTCTATAACTCAGAACAATTTAGTAGACTCTGCTTTTGCAAATTGACATAAACATTTGCAAATGAAATACTTTTCTCCCTGCCTGACTCTTTTAGAATTGTGAAATGTTTTTGAGTATTCTTATTTTCATAGCAATATAGTTATTTGCATAGGTTCGCATTATATACTACAGTTATTTGTGTGACCTTCTTTTTTCTTCTTCTTCTTCTCCCCAAACCCCCCGGTACATAGTTGTCTATTCTAGTTGTAGGTCCTTCTGGTTGTGCTATGTGGGACACTGCCTCAGCATGGCCTGATGAGCAGTGCTATGTCCACACCCAGGATCCGAACCAGAGAAACTCTAGGCCCCTGAAGTGGACCGTGTGAACTTAACCACTCGACCACGGGGCCGGCCCCTTGTGTGTCCATGTTATAAGAACATAATTGGAAACATTGGTTATGCAACCAATGTCTTTCCTGGAATGTAATATTTGAGAATGATACTCATTTAATCAGACGCCGCTAGACACTTTTAAGGAACTAGGGTTACTTGATGGAGCCAATGCTTACAGAGCCTTCTTAGAAAACTGGCCTGGCACCTGGTTCCCAGGTTCCCAGCCTTATGAGCGAGCGAGCAAATGACTCACTGGCAGACTCAGGAATCTTAGGATATTTTGGAACTCGAGAAGAGAGTACTTTGCTCAAATTTCTGGTGCTGAATTCTTGCCTTGTCTTCCTAGATTTTTTAAGCTTATTCTAAGTCTAATCTGAGATTCCTTATAAAGACTTCCAGCAGAGCCAGCACGGAAGACCTGTGGTAAATGATGTTCTTGCTGCACCTGTGTAAATAATCGGGCCAAATCTATTGAGATCAGTCTTATTTGGTGATTAAGAATAATCTTCTCTTCAGATTGCTTTTGATCAAGAGGCTGTAGAAATTAATTCTGTCTCAATGGAAAACTGTGCATTGTCCGTAGCATATCCTTTTGGGCTATCAGGTTCTAGCCATATTCATTGTTTTTGAGCTATTTGCAACTCTTCTGTAAATTAAGGGTAACTCGGATCTGCAAACTCTGTCTTGTCTGGTGGACATCTAATTGCGCTATATCCTCTTGTGGAAAAAACGGTCTGGTATTTAACTGCAAATTGTACTGGATCCTGTTACCTTGCCCAAATTGATATCCTTTATCAAGCTTTCCATTTTCCTCATTTTCTTCAATATCTGGCTACCCCAATCCAAATATCTTTTCCATTTTTTTTCTCACTTTCACCTGATTTGAAGTCACTGAGGACTAAAATCCGACTGCCAGCTCCGTCCTGGGTCTCTAGGTAGCCTTTCCACTCGCCTGTCATCCTAACTATTTTATGTGATATATAAGTAAATTAACAATCTTACTCCAATTTAGCTGTCTACTTTTTAACCTCACAAGTGTTCCATATGAAGCCTCTGTTACAAATAGCCTGGCTTATTCATGGAACTAGTTCTCAAAACTTACCCATGGCTCAAAGGCAAACTAGGTTGTCTACAAGGGTGAGCATACATGTTTTCCTCCAAGGCAAATAGACATAGGCAGAAATTGGCTGTCCTGAGCAAACCGCCAGGTTTCGCCCTCTCCTCACTGCTATTATATCATGTAACAGCAGCAAATATGTAATCCTATGGTTGGTGTTTTTATTACATCAATAAATCCAAATGTAATTTCTCTGAATCTTTTCCCAAGATAAAGTAGGATGCCTCATATCTTTTCAATTATTCCTATTTCTCTGCTTTTTCTTAGAAAGCAGTTTTTTAGTTACATTGTGTTTGCCTTACTCCTTTCAATACTTTGATTTGCAAAATCGTACATGTAATATGTTATATTTTATATAAGAAAGGGGTTGCAGAAAATAGATATTTGTATTTGGTTATATTTACAAAAAGAAAGACTGTAAGGATAAATCACAAACGAGTAAGAATTATTACTACAAGTCAAAGGAGGGGAGAGAGTGAAGATGATAGAGAAGGAAATGATACTGCTGGATATTTTCTTATATCGTTTTAACTTTGAAAAATGTACGCAGTTCACATAATGAAAAATAAATTCAAAAGAAATATCTGAGAATAGAAAATAAACCTACAAATGAGTGTTGAAGCCTGTGAAATAAACATACTTAGAAAAGAATAACTTTAAGTGATGTAGGAACACCAAGGCTCTGTTTCCACGACGGTGCGCATGCAAAGACAAACAGGACAGCAAGAACAATGGCAGCAACAACAAAAACAACTCAACTCTATTTTAAAGTTCGATTTCTTTCTTTAGTCTAATTATAAATAGTAATAGTTTAAGATTATTTTGAAACTATTTTATAGGTCTAACTGAGGATAAGGCAATTCAATACTGATGTTAAGATTGTGTGTGTGGGAGGAAATATATTGATATAAACGTCAGAGATGTTAATTAAAAATCTGATAGCGCTAAACTTGAATGGGAATTATTTTTATGAACTCCTGATTTCTTTTAAATTCTGAAAATATGCACATCTTAACTCTGTCTTCTGGAAAGGCCTAGAAGCAATGCCAATGGAAGAGTGTTGAGCACCCTTACATCCAGAAAGTGGTTTCTAAATACTATTCCCCACTAAAAAGAACCAGTAATCATCAGAGAAATGGCGGGTCCCAGGTATGTTGTAGGAAACCCACCAGATGGTGCAGAGACATCTTGTGGTGACAGAAAGTAAAGCATCCATTCAGAATGGAGTGGTAGTGCCACGCCTAAGGACACAGAAGCTGATGTGATGACGCACTCATTGGCTGCAGTTGTGAGAATTACATACCAGAAGAGAATAATGAAATTTATTGAGGTATATCATATACATACAAACCCATAATGACATTCTGATAAGACAGAGAGGGAGAGAAATCCAGCAGAGCAGTGGCAATAACAACATTTGGGGCATCATTGGAAATAACAAACATATCACATCTTCCTCTAAAGATTGGATTGATGAAACAAATGATTAAGCCTTTTCTGTATAAACTTTATTTTATGATATCCAAATACAGTTTATTGGAAAAAATACAGAAGAATTCTGCCTATTGTATGACAGGAATGATAAAATTAGGAAATGGCCATTTGCAAACACTTAATAAAAACTGAATCATGTGAAGTCCATCCCAACAACTAAATGAAAAGTTGTCACTCGACTTCATAGGAAAGCAATCAACCTGTCACCACTTGAACTCACAAAACAACCTGAGCATCACTAAAAGTGGAACACTGATTGCGTTCAGATGTAAGCAATCACGCCTCTGATAAAGTATTCTTGCCTTATCAATCCTTGAAAGTGAACTTTAACTTATAAGTAAAACATGGATAACAGGGCAAGATAAATGACCAAGGAATCAAGCTGACAAATACAGAATAAGAGAAATTTTATAGGACATCCAGTTTATGCAATGCACCATTAGCATCACCAAAAAAATGGAAGAGAGGGAAAAGAAAAGTTTTGGGTAGGAAGAGTGAACTGCTGCCAGATAAATGAGATTATTTGACAAGGTGTGGACTTTGGATCCTAAGTCAAGTAAATATATTCTAAAAACTATTTCTTAGACTGACATTTTTTAATTTGGTATTAGACATGCTAAGGAAGTATCATATATTAAGAATGATACTTTTGTAATAGCTGGATCATATGGTAGATCTATCCTTAATTTTCTGAGGATACTCCACACTGCTTTCCATAGTGGCTGTACCAGTTTGCACTCCCACCAGCAGTGAACAAGGGTTCCCTTCTCTCCACACCCTCTCCAACACTTGTTGTTTCCTGTCTTGTTAATTATAGCCATTCTGACCCGAGGGAGGTGATACCTCATTGTAGTTTTGATTTGCGTTTCCCTGATAGCTAATCATGTTGAGCATCTTTTCATATGCCTGTTGGCCATCCCTATATCTTCTTTGGAGAAATCTCTGTTCAGATCTTTTGCCCATTTTCTAATTGGATTGTTGGTTTTTTTGTTGTTGAGCTGTATGAGTTCTTTGTGTATTTTGGATATTAACCCCTTATCTGGTATGTGGTTTGCAAATATCTTCTCCCAATTGTTAGGTTGTCTTTTCGTTGTGTTGATGGTTTCCTTTGCTGTGCAGAAGGTTTTTAGTTTGATGTAGTCCCATTTGTTCATTTTTTCTTTTGTTTCCCTTGCCCACTCAGACATGGGACTTGAAAATATGCTGCTCAGACCAATGTTATAAAGATACTTGCACCCCTATGTTCATTGTGGCATTATACACAATAGCCAAGACATGGAAGCAACCTAGGTGCCCATCAAGGGACGAATGGATAAAGATGTGGTATTTATACACAATGGACTACTACTCAGCCATAAGAAATGACGAAATCCGGCCATTTGTGACAACATGGATGGACCTTGAGGGTATTATGCTGAGTGAAATAAGTCAGAGGGAGAAAGTCAAATACCATATGATCTCACGTAGATCTCAAGTAGAAGATAAAAACAACAACGAAAAAAACCACATAGCATTGGAGATTGGACTGGCGGTTACCTTTGGGGAAGGGGGGGGAGGACAAAAGGGGTGACTAGGCTCACACGTGAGGGGATGCACTATAATTAGTGTTCGGGTGGTGAACATGTTGTAATATATACAGAATTCAAAATATGATGTACATCTGAAAAAAAATAAATAAAATAAAATAAATAAAAAAGAATGATACTTTTATTAGGGCTTATTGCATTAGGTGTGGTATTTGCATTAGGTGTGATGACGACTTTTTAAATTTTTGCTGAGGAACATTTGCCCTGAGCTAACATCTGTGACTATCTTCCTCTATTTTGTATGTGGGTCGCCATGACAGCATGGTGACAAGTGGTTCAGGTCTGCACCCGG